CCCCCTGCCCCACAGAATGACCATTCTGCCCCCCATGGACTGCCTGCAGCGCATGGTTCAGACCATCTCTGAGTTTTACACTGCCTTCGTCCGCGAGTTCTCCTGATGGACCCACAGCTGCCCCATAACAGCCCCAGAGCAGCCCCATAGTGACCCCACTGCTGCCCCATAGCAGCCCCATCAGGATCCCAGACCCAATGCAGTTCTCCCACATCCCCTACGGTGCCCCACATCCCCCCAGCTGCTCTCCGACATCCCATAATAAACGCTGCAGATGTGAATGGCCCACAGCGTCGTCCGTGTGTCCACACCCCACAGCGCCCCACATCCCATCGTATCCCATAGAGTGGGGAAGCATATGAGAAAGAGCCCCATAGAGCCCCATTGATCCCATAGAGCCCCATAGAGCCCCATAGAGCCCCAGTGATCCCATAGAGCCCCATAGAGCCTATAGAGCCCTATTGATCCCATAGAGCCCCATAGTGCCCCACAGAGCCCATAGAGCCCCATAGAGCCCCATTGATCCCATAGAGCCCCACAGAGCCTCATAGAGCCCATAGAGCCCCACAGAACCCCATTGATCCTGTAGAGCCCCATAGAGCCCATAGAGCCCATAGAGCCCCATAGAGCCCCATCAAGCCCCATAGATCCCATAGAGCCCATTGATCCCATAGAGCCTATAGAGCCCATAGAGCCCCATAGAGCCCCGTCGAGCCCCATAGATCCCACAGAGCCACATAGAGCCCCATAGAGCCCATAGAGCCCCATAGATCCCACAGAGCCCCATAGAGCCCCATAGATCCCACAGAGCCCCATAGAGCCCCATAGATCCCACAGAGCCCCATAGCGCCACATAGAGCCCATAGAGCCCCACAGAGCCCCAGCGAACCCGACGGAGGAAGAAGATCACTTAGCGAACAGGTCAATAAATAAATAGCTGCGATTCGTTAATTGCACCGTTAATAAAAACACAATTAAACTATTCAAAATCTTGGGGACATCCTGAAGAACTTGGGGTCATCTTGGGGACCATGGGGACATCCTGGTGGCCTTGGGGCCATCTTGGGGACAATGTGAACATCCTGATGACCTTGGGGACATCTTGGGAAACATGGGCACATGCTGGTGGCCTTGGGGTCATCTTGGGGACATCCTGAAGAGCTTTGGGGCCATCTTGAAGACCTTGGGGTCATCTTGGGGACCATGGGGATGTCCTGGTGGCCTTGGGGCCATCTTGGGGCCATCTTGAAGACCTTGGGGTCATCTTGAGGACCATGGGGACACCCTGGTGGCCTTGGGGACATCTTGGAGACATCCTGAAGACCTTGGGGTCATCTTGGGGACCATGGGGACACCCTGGTGACCTTGGTGACATCTTGGGGACAATAGAAACATCCTGATGACCTTGGGGACATCTTGGGGACATCCTGAAGAGCTTGGGGTCATCTTGAGGACCATGGGGACACCTTGAGGACCACAAGGACGTCCCAGAGATGATGAGAACCCCTTGATGACCAGAGACGTCCTGATGACCATGAGGACACCTTGAGGACCCCAGGGGACGTCTTGAGGTCCATGGGGACGTCTTGAGGACCACAGGGGCATCCTGAGGACCAGGGGGACATCCATGGGGACAATGAGGACATCTTGAGGGCCACGAGGATGTCCTGGAGATGATGAGAATCCCTTGGAGACCACAGGAGATGAGGTCCACGGGGACATCTTGAGGACTGCAGGGACATCCTGAGGTCCATGGGGACATTGTGGTGACCATGGGGACATCTTGAGGACCATGGGGACATCGTGATGACCATGGGGATGTTGTGGTGACCACAGGGACATCTTGAGGACCATGGGGACGTTGTGATGACCATGGGAACATTGTGATGACCATGGGGACATCTTGAGGACCATGGGAACATCTTGAGGTCCGTGGGGACGTTGTGATGACCATGGGGACATCTTGAGGTCCATGGGGACACCTTGAGGTCCATGGGGACGTTGTGATGACCATGGGGACATCATGATGACCATGGGGACATCTTGAGGACCATGGGGACATCGTGATGACCATGGGGACATCTTGGGGACCATGGGGACATCTTGATGACCACAGAGCCATCTTGAGGTCCATGGGGATGTTGTGGTGACCACGGGGACATCGTGATGGCCATGGGGACATCTTGAGGACCATGGGGACATCGTGATGACCACGGGGACATCTTGAGGACCACGGGGACATCTTGAGGACCACAGGGACATTGTGATGACCACGGGGACATCTTGAGGACCACGGGGACATCTTGAGGAGCATGGGGACGTTGTGATGACCATGGGGACATCGTGATGACCATGGGGACATCTTGGGGACCATGGGGACATCTTGATGACCACAGAGCCATCTTGAGGTCCATGGGGATGTTGTGGTGACCACGGGGACATCGTGATGACCATGGGGACATCTTGAGGAGCATGGGGACGTTGCGATGACCATGGGGACATCTTGAGGAGCATGGGGACATCGTGATGACCACAGGGGACACCTTGAGGACCATGGGGACATTGTGAGGACCACAAGGACATCGTGATGTCCATGGGGACATCTTGAGGACCATGGGGACACCTT